GGGGGGGAATTACATGCGGAGCAGGCCGTTTTCAAGGCTATTTTTACGAATTTTTTTTAACAGAAATGGTAGGATCAGTGGACTTGAAATTTTCACCGTATATTCATTAATGTTCAAGATATAAAATAAATTTGTTACTATCTATATGGAAAGTACATATAAAACTTTAAACGCGTTTATCTGGAAACATCATTTTCTTAAATTGTCGACAGGATTACGCAAAAATTACTGAACCGAATAATTTACAATTTTTACACAATATATAGTCGACATGTAGTTTTCGCCCCTATCTCGACCACAGTTATATTTTATTTTATTCATTTTTTTTTAAATATGATCACAAGTTGAAAAAAGTTTCATTTCCCTGTACAGTCATTATTTTTACAAATTTGGCTTCACTGCCTTCATTTTGATACAGGCTATAATGGCAACCATATATTTTAAAAATCTTTCTCATTTTTTTATTTCAGAATAATGGGAGGCCCGGAATTATGTCGACAGCAAATATAGAGCTCGCAAACGAATGACTGTATTTTTATCTATAACTACAAATTGGATCAGTTCTTGTGATTCAATAACATTTATTTTATACTTTGAACATTAATAAATACACTGTGAAAATTTCAATTCCATTGATTTTACCGATTCTGTTAAAAAAAATTCGTAAAAATAGCTTTGAAAACGGCTTTCTGCATGAAATTCCGCCTTTAAAAGCACAATTAATGGCGACGGGCTAACGCCTTGGGCGGCTTTGAACAACAATGTTTCCGATCGTCGCGCGCATAATTAGCTCGGTCGAGCCGAGAGAAGGCGACGTCTATTCCGTTCACCTCGAAAATCGCACGCGGCCGCCAGAGGCGAATCGTCAATGCGCGACTGAAAGAGGAACGCGTCGATAAACAATCAATCGCTCATAAACATCGCGCATGCGATGCGACGGGGAAGGGGGGGGGGGAAAGAACAATGCCCGCGTGGCAGCGAGGGAGCGTCGCGTGGGAGGAATCATCGCGACGTGAAAACCTCCGGATACGTCAACGATTTCCTCCTCCACTCTTCAAGTTTTGCAACGACGTCCTAACGCACGTGAGATCCGTCGCGCGAAACTGCCGAGGACCGAGGAAATGTCTTTTTATTCATCGCGAGTCGGCCTGCGGAGCCCCGGACGAAGAAGAGCGGGGGGGGGGAGAGATACATTGCTTAAATACCCGGGAGAGAAGCGCAGCCTTTATTACATTTCTTCCGACGGGGGGGGGGGGGGGGAAACACGGCGAGGAAAGAGCCGGAGCTCTCGCGACGACGCTCCTGAGACGGCGGGATCTCTCGTCCCCGCTCTATTCAGTCAACTAGAGAAGGCCCAGAGCATCTGGACCTTCGACAGACGCAAGGTTGCAGCGATGTAACGTAAGAGATTTTCTTTCGTAAGTGTCCCCCCCTCCCCCCACTCTCTGCCTCGCTCTCGTTCGCCTCGGCAAGAAACGAGCGAGGGAACGCAACGACACTGCCTGTGCTCCAGTTCCGGGTATCGATTTGTCGCGCGTTAAACGCGCGATAGGTGAAAGCGAGCGCTTGAATCCCGTCGCGAGCGGGAGCGCGAGGACGCGGCGATTATCGGCGCGCTGCGCGCCAAGGAGAGCGCTTACAAGGAAACATACTCAACCGTCCCTCACCGATTTTGATGGGCATTGGATATTTTGTAGAGCATCAGAAAACATTAGATACGTTTTTTTTTTATGTGCTTATCTCGAGGTTTAAGGGTCGAAACTACCCCTTGAAGGAAACGGACTTTTTCGTTGTTATTTAATATCTCATAAAATATGAGGTATGTGAGAAAGTATTTCAGACAAAAGTTTTACAATATTTTGTACTCTTTCTATCGGTCTAGTAAAATTTTCCAAAATGTAATATTGTACTCCCTCCCTCTCCCCCTCCTCCGTTACCTTCGCAAATTTTTAAATTTTTGTAAGGACAAAAATTAAAGAATATTTAATGCCGAATCCACTCATATATATGTATATATATATATATATAATAATATGGTTCCTCGATTCAATTTTTGGTAAAACTACATGATTCATAACTTCGCGTTATAGGCACCGTGTTGTGCGAGCAGGTAGGTACTGTACGTAACGTTGCGTTATTTCTCTTCACTTGCGCTATGCTTTATTACTTTCGCATATTTTCTACTACATACTACAAGGTTAAAGATTTAAAGACATACTAAAGATTTAAAGAGAAAAACAAAAATTTTACAAAAATAGAAAGATAAGTCGAGAGAGAGAGAGAGAGAGAGAGAGAGAGAGAGAGAGCCCGAGTTCTTCCGCGGAATCTGGGCCATCGAGTCGCCGCGCTATCTGCACATCCGCCGATGCCAAATTCGCGTGAGTTATAGTTAGTCGCACTAATAACAGGTTACACTCGGCCATCTCTCTCTATTGGGCCGCGAGCGCGAGCGGGAATCGGCGTTTCGGAAATCGCGCCTATCGACCTACGGCCGCGGCGCCAAACTTGCCTCAGCTTGCGTAATCCCCTTGCGTAAAAATACTTGTTGCGTCCGAGCGGGAAGAGCGAATCGGCGCCGCTCGTCGTCGATCCGCGAGCACGATCCGCACGCGTCGCGCGTATTTTTAAACGCTTCCACCGAGCGCGGCAACCGAGCCGAGACTAAGCGGACGATTGGAAAATCGCGCCTAATCTTGAGTCAAGATGGCCGAGCGCGCGCGCGCGCACGCGTGCGTGCGCTTCGCGAAACGTGATGGATCCGCCGCACGCAATGGGCACTCGCGAGTGCAAATGCTCGTTATAATCGTGCGAGCTACGCGATTCGCGGACGCGACGGAACCGCCGAATGGAGCAGAGAGCCGTTCGCGAGAGGAAGCTGCAAAAAGAGAGAAACGAGCGACAGCGCTCGCACGCGCTAAACAATCGAAACCGCATTTCTATCTTTCGCGCGGTGTATTCTCGAATTTATCTCCGGGCGGTGCGCGCTGGCGTTTTTACGTAACGTCGGCCGGCTCTCCCCAGTGAAATCGATCGCAACCGGATGCTAATTAAAAGCGCGAGGTTCGCGAAAATTCATTTTCTCCGCGCGCGCGCGAGCTCGCGCCGGCGACGTTAAACAAAACGAAATGGCAGCCGCACGATTTTCGCGCGCTCGCCTGCAATTATTCATCGGCGGGATCCGCCGATGTCGCGCTCCGTAATTGTTAATCACCAGCGATGTTATACGCCGCCGCCGCCGCCGCGTACACAACGGAACTCTTTTTGTCGCCCCGACAATGCCGCGACTCTTTGTTGTTCACCTGGTCGGACGATATTCCGCGGCTGAATATGACAAATGTTATTGATATTACAGCCCCGCAATACATACACGGCAGCTTTCTTTCTTCCGCACAGCGTCAACCGTTCGTCGCGAAGGGGCAAGTCGCGAGTGTGTGGTTGTATGTGTATGTGTGTGTGTGTTTGCGGGCAGCAATGTTTTCTCATTAACCCCTGAAAGCTACCATCAGGTATCACCCCAGGCTAACTTTTCTTGCTATTGTTTGCGGCAAAGTACACGTGAGAATTGGTCTGTTGTATCATAATGTTGTCGCTACTCTGACAGTGCGAAGAAATACCGATCAAATTAGCGTTGTCAGCGTGCGGCTGCGTTCTTTGACACGTCCAACGCCGTGCCTCGGTCATCTCGGTGACCGACAAAATACCGATAAATTTTAATAAATAATGTCCTCATATCAAAAATTAAAAATTTTAAGGTTATGAAAGAAGAGAAATCTATAAATCACCCTTATCAGATCGGTGTACAAATAATTGTGCACCGATCTGATAAGGGAAGAATTGTGGTTTTTATCGCTTTAAGTTCGGCGCCGATTTTTCTAGTTACCGCCATCTTTTCCAGAATTCTACCTTGCAGGAATAAACAAACTTGTTTCCGGTTGGAAGAAACCGTGCGCGGGCCTTTATTTTGATTAACAAATTTTATAATTTTTAACTGATGCGTCTTTATACTCGGTACGTAAAAACCGCAATTACTTGTACACTAACCTAATATTAATATTAATATGTACAGGGTGTCCAGGATTTTTAGAAACGGAAATTGTGAAGATTAATCAGATCAAACTGAGAAAAAAAGTTAAGCACCATTTTGCAAAAAAATTGTGGTAGTAATCAATGATTAAAAATGACACATTTAGAGGCTCTTTTAATTGATAACTCGGAAATTTGCGTACTTATTTGCAAAATGGTAAAGGACTTTTACGTTCAGAATGATCTAACCTACAATTACATGGCGGCTCTTGTGTCGAGCGATAGATATGAGGAAATTAAACTTTGAACCCTGAATCCTGAACCTGTCGCTAGGCAGAATAGCCGTATCATATAATTGTAGATTGGGTCATTCTGAACAAAAAAGTCTATTATTTTGCAAATAAATAAACAAATTTTCAAGTTATCAATTAAAAGAGTTATCAATTGAAAAGGTCTTTAGATGTGGTCATGTTTAATCATTAACTTGATAACTATTGCGATTTTTGCAAAATGATAAAGGACTTTTTCGTTCAGAGTGACCTAACCTACAATTACATGACGACAATTACACACTATTGTGTCTAGCGATAGATATGAATATATTGAATTATGAGCCCTGAATCTCGAATCTGTCGCTAGGCACAATACCCGTCATGTAATTGTAGGTTAGGTCATTCTAAATAAAAAAGTCCTCCACAATTTTGTAAATTTTCAAGTTATCAATTAAAAGAGCCACTAGACATTTTAGTAGTCATTTTCAATCATTAACTAAAGCGATTTTTGCCAAATGATACTTTTCGTTTCCAAAAGATCCCGGACACCCTGTATATATGTAGGCGCGGCGTAATCGCGTAAAGATCAAAAAGTGCTCGAAGCTTAACGCGTTCACAGGATCAAAAATCCGCGTGGGGTGAAATTTCAGTCACAGTAGCCTTTAAGGATCCAAGATATTTCAGTTCGATCACTGACTCACTGACCTTGATCCATCCTCCGTGAGCGGTGACGACCACGTACAGCAGGTACAGATCTATATCCTTCCCGTTGATCCTCGGAGACTTCTTGAAGAGAGTCCTGGAATCGAGGAAAAGGATGTTACCGGAGTGCGCGCGGAAGCAGACGGGAGATTAGCTTGTCAAAATACGTCTACGTGGAAACATATCTGTCCGACGATTCATCTCTCACAGGATACGCACGAATGTTCATTGTATATTCTCCCCCCTCCCTCTCTTCACCGATTTAGCTGCGCAAAAATTTCGTAGAAGCAACCGCGTTCTTCGGCGACGAGCGGTCGTGTTGGCGCGGACACAAACAAACGGCCGTTCTCCGAATCGTCTTGTGTGCTGCTCGTCGGTAAGAAAAGCCCAATAATGCCGTCTCTCGTCGATAGGTCACGTTCGAAAGGAAAAAATGGCGCCCGCGCGCCCGAATTTTCGCCCGAGGATCGCAATTTTCATCACGCGCGTCTCTCGTGCGCGAAACACGTCTCGCACTCCCGTGTCGTTTTCTCGCGCGCAAGTCGCGTAAATATTGCCGCTCATTCGGATCGCGTCGTAAGGTGCGACGACGACGAGCGAACAACGAGGACGCGATTGGCAAGTAACGTATTTACGTTACGTGGTCTGTGCGCGTTTCGGGTGTTCGACACACACACACACACACACACACACACACACGACTTATTACCCGCGCATCGCGCGCGCACACACACGTACACAAAAATCGTGGGAAATACCTTTCTCGTAATCACACGATATCGCCGCGCGTATCACAGAAACGCGCGATAAACCGAGATATAAGAAACGAGCGTCGATCACCAGGCCGACGCGACGAACGCGAAGATTGGTTGGCCAACATAACCTCAATTCGCGTTCGCTCGCTCGATGCCGAGCGACGATCCGATCCGCTCGCGTGTCACCGAGCCGTCTGACCGCCGATCCGCGGAGCGATCGCGATCGTCGGAGGGGCGAAGAGGGGAAAAGTGCGCGATTTAAGTCCAAGATAAGCATATACGCGGCGGGAAGAAGAAAGGAGGATGGGAGCGGGGAGGGGGGAGGGGTCGTCGCAGGCGCGACGACAGCGAGACGACGACGACGACGACGCTTCGCGCGTACACACGTTAACTGCTAACCGGAAAAGGCAGAGAAGCTGATGATGAAGAAAGAGCGTCAGCAGACTCGGCTTACCCTCGGGTCTCGTGGAAATGTCGGAGGTCCTTCAGGAAGTTCTCCCTCTCCCTCTCGTAGGTGACGGGGTCCTTGTTGAGGATCTTGGCCATGTTCGCGGGTAACAAGTGCGCGCGCGGCGGGCGTGCTAGTCGGGGTGTGCTCTGGGTTTACAGGGCACGCAGGGGCAGCGGGCAGAGAAGCAGAAGGAGGTGCACATGGGCGCGAACGGGGGCACATTTACGCGAGGAGCGTCCTGCCGTTGTGGCTACTGCGGCTACTGTTGCTGCTGTTCGTACGATGCAGGATGACGACGACGCGCGAGGACGAGGACGACCGCGGGTCGGCACGGGGTCACGACCCGCTCCCAACATCGGGTCGCCTTGTCCTGTCTCCAAGTCGGCCGGTGGCCTCTTGCTTGCTCTAGCTCGCTCGCTCCTCTCTCTCTCTCTCTCTCTTTCTCCGACCAACACACGTTCTTTCTCTCCGCACGTCTCTCTCTCTCTCTCTTCTCACTCTCTTTCTTTCTTTCTTTCTCTCTCTTTCTCTTGCACGAGCTCTCGCGCGTTCACTCGCTCTCTCACGCGCGCGAAACGAGACGACGACGACGACGACGACGACGACGACGACGACGACGACGACGACGGCAACGGCAACGGCAGCTTTTCCCTGCCGCCCCCGAATCGCCCGCTCTCGCCGCGTTACGACGTACACTCGCTCTCTCGGTGGCCTGAGCGCGCTCTCCCCGGGACTCACTCTCTCTCTCTCTCTCTCTCTCTCTCTCTTTCTCTCGCTCGCTCGCTCGCTCTCTCGCGCGCGCCCCGCGTGCACGAAAAATTCGAATGCGCCGAGATAGTCAGCAGCGGGCGAGCGAGAGCGCGACTCGCGTTTCACGCGCGGGGGCGCGTTACGATATCACGGCACAAGTACGGCACAGTACCGAGGCACAGCACGACACGACCGCAGTAAACGATAACGCTCGAACTCGTCTCGTTTCGTCTCGTTCCGTTTCGTCTCGACTCGATTCGACTCGCGTCGACTTGCGCGATTCCGCTCCGCTCCGCTCTCGGCTCTCTCTCGCGCGCGCTGAGCCGCAAAACTTGGCGAACGACACGACGACGGCGACAGACGGTGAGAGAGAGCTTGCTTGCTTGCTTGCTTGCTTGCTCGCTCGCTCGCTCGCTCGCTCGCTCGCTCGCTCGCTCGCTCGCTCGCTCGCTTCCTTCCTTGCTTGCTCACTCGCTCGCTTGCTTCCTTGCTTGCTTGCTTGCTTGCCTGTCTGCCTGCCTGCTTGCTTGCCTTCCTTCCTTCTCTCGCGCTCTCTCGTATAGGCCCCCGATCGATTCACCTGTCACTTGTCAACGAAACTCGCGGGATACGCTGCGCCACGCACCACGCACCAGCCGCGTCGCGACGCCCGGCTAGCTCGCGAACGTCCGAATTCGGCCGCGCGGGTCCTACGCAGCCGGCGGAGAGCGACTCACGAGCGCGTTTCACTGCGAGGCGAAGCGCTTGACGTGCGGCCGTATATCAAAATGGCGTCCCTGCTGCTGGCTGCCTGGCATCCATTGGCGAAGCCACCGCGGCCAATTTCCCGTACGCTACCGCCGATCGCTACGGACGCGCCGCGACGGCACACCGTTTCCGCTCACCACACGTCGGCAGCGCGCGCGCGACGCCCGACGCCCGACGACGTGAACGCTCTACGTCATTTTACGCGCGGCACTCCGCGTACAGAGGCCCGACCGCACGGCGTGTCTCTCACGGCTTTTTTACCCCTCGGCCTGCCTCGGCACCGTACCGACGAAAATCCCGGATCGCGCACAGTATTTTTACTTTCAAAATGGTTGAGCACCCCCTCGCCCCGTGGTCTGCCGCCGCTTCCCTGGCACGTCTGCAGAGGCCGCCAACGACGCGGCACGCTGCCGCCATCTGTCGGCGTCCGTCCGCGGCCTTGCCGGACGCGGAAGGGACACGCGCTTTCACGCTTTGTCGTGCCGTCGACGACTGTTCGTCTCGTCTCGTGCTGTTGGACGTTACTCGAGTGAAAGGTACGTACGACTGAATCGAGGCCAAATTGTCGCGTCCACGTGTTCGACGCGACTTAACCTGCGCGCGCGGCTAGTGTCTTCACCTTTGTCCGCTTCGTAAGCGCGAGCGCTTCGTTTCACGACGCGCGGGCTTTGCTATGGTGTACAAACGTAAGAAGCAACACAGAGGCGACACGCACTTGAAGAAAGGCTGGCGGACGAAACGGAGGAAGAAGGATCTCGACGAGGTGCGTGCGAACGTATACTGTCTGATGACTAACCTAACCTAACCTGCTTGGCGCGGCGTTCGTCGACGTTCGTCGACCGACCATTGTCGGTTCTAACGTGTCTCCGGGTTTTAGATCGACGAGGATCTGAAGGAGCAGAACATTGAGCAGTTGTTGAATCAGGAAGTGGACTTCGACAAACCGGGATCGGCGCAGCATTACTGCGTGCATTGCGCGTAAGTGCGATTAACGAATTACGAAAGACCTAACCTAACCGACGTGACCTAACCTGTTACCAAGTTGGTTATATAACATCTACCGCTTGGTGTTCTAAATATCAAGATGTCACGTTGAAAGCGAATATTTAAATGTGCACAATGTTACAGCGTGCGACTCGAGCCGTTGCCGAAAGATTACAATCTGCCCTCGAATTTTCGAAGCTCGTTCACGTCGAGAAACCTGAAATGGCCGATCAATCGGTCGAATTTAGGGACTGTTCTTTTCAACTGAACTAGTGCTGCACTGAAACTGCATTTCAGAACTAGAACTGAGTTAGGTTATAGCAAAAGTTCATACACGCAGAAATGCCAGATAGGATAGAAAAGAATGCCACAGTGCAGGAAATAACACAGCAGTATACGTTGCTGTTAATGATTCTTCAGATGAAGATCTTCTATCTTTATGTACCTCCACATTATATCCAGAACCGACCTGGGATGAGGAACATGATAGTAATATACTGTTATTTCATGTGGCATAATTGATTAATATTAATCAAGTAAAAATTGCACAAAACTTTCTAATAACTATAGGTCTGTCCTTTTTAAATACACTGCCTGAACTGATGTAAATTTGGTCTTCGCGATTTACTGAACTGCTTGTACTAACTCCAGACTTAGTGCAAGCAGTACAGTGAACTATTGCAAGTTCTGTCACACTGGGTGGAAAGAACAGTAATATCTAACATCATGTTTCTGCTAGAGAGAACGCTTCAGTATACTTCTTGAACTAGTACAGAAAGTTCAGCTGGAAAGAACAAACCCTTAGACGAGCTAATATCACATTCTCGGTGTTGCATTTTAAAATCTAACCGTAATATACAATATAAGCTACATGTAGAATAACCAATTTCAGGAGGTACTTCATAAACGAAACTGCGCTTCAAACCCACTTCAAAACCAAGGTGCACAAGCGACGATTGAAGGCCCTCGAGCTGGAGCCGTACAGTATCGAAGAGTCGGAAAGAGCCGCGAGTAAAGGAAATTACGTCGCCTCGCAAAAGCGTAAGATCGAGACCGTGACGAGGGCCAGTTTTAACAAAATTGACGTAGATACCGAGTCTGATCCTGAAGCAGTAAACCTAGACGAATAAGGTGTACTTGTCGTTTGTAAATATCGCTACTTCCCTGTTGGTAGTACATTACAAGATTGCCCCACGGCAAGAACACTCTGATGATGTGCACTCTGGTGAAATTCATGCGCGGTTGGGGGCGTAACATTCTCGCAGGATCGTCGACGAGCCGTGTTCGTCGAAAAGCCATCATCGCGTCGTGCTTCAGTAGGCACTACGGTTCAGCTCTGTTCATTTCTGGCAAGGTAGCCCATAAAACCTTTGCGTTCCTCACGCCCTACTTGGACGTGGAAGAACGGTTCGCCAACATGGAGAAGCTACAGGAGGAAATAGCGTTGCGCGGTATGGACATCGACGTGGTCCAGCTGAAGAATTCGTGGGAGTTCTACCGGCAAATGAACATGGACAAGCGCGCGTTGGAAGACCGCTTGGCGGAGCTCAAAAATAGCAAGAAGCAGCTTAAAAGAAGTGAGCAGACTTCCGAGATTCAGCAGGAACTGCACAAGCTAGGTCTGCAGCAGAAAGTCATCCAGGAGGACATCAAGACGATGAAGCAGGCGATCTGGGACATGGACGACAATGTTGTGCGGAGGGTTCTCAAGTTGCCGAACAACTTGGACCCGCGAACGCCTATCGTGGAATCGATGGTGCTGAGGAGCGTCGGTAACGCGCCTGATTCGTCTGTGCCGGAAAGCAGGACACATGTCGAGATTGGCACGAGGCTCGGTCTGCTCAAGTACCAGAACCCCATGTCCTACTATCTGTGCAATAAAGCAGCCTTGTTCGAGCTCGGTGTGCTGGCACATGCTGATCGTGTCTTGATCGACGGTGATAATATGCTGAAAGTGATTGGCACCGATTTCGGCCGGAGTCTCGTGGTAGAGGGCTTAGGCTTGGACCACGAAGACCCGATGTCTGCTTTCCTCATAGAAAATCACGAGGAAGTCGAAAGGGACTCGTCGAATCGCATGCATCTGATCGGCGGCGCCTGTTTGCCCTCCTTCCTGACGTTGCACGCGAAGCAGCTGATCAATCCCAACGACTTCCCGCTCAAGTACCTTGCCACAGGTAGGCAGTACACGCCTTCGCCGGCCGATTCGGCGCTCTGCGGCCTGTTCACAGCGTGTCAAGCCTCCGTGGCTCATGTATTCACCATGGTGAAGGATGGAAAGAGCGAGGAGTACAGGACGCTCTTCGACCAACTCGTGGACAATGTGTGCCGGCTGTACGACGACCTGTGCGATCATTATCGAGTCGTGATGAAGTCCGCGCCGCAGCTGGAGCCGTGGGAAAGTCTGCGCGTGTCGTTCGAGCTGTGGTCGCCGTCCGCGAAGCGGTACATCGAGGTAGGCCACTTGTCCGCGTGCGGCGACTACTTCAGCAAGCGATTGCTCATCACCTATCAAACATCGACCGGCAGAAGCTTCCCCGCGGCGATAACCGGCACCGTTCTCTCGGTTCCGCGTCTGCTCGGTTGCCTGCTCGAACAGAACCCGCACAAGTTTGTGATACCGCCCAAGGTGGCCGAGCTGGCACCCTCAGGCGACTGTGTCGCTGTGTAAATCGAGCGATTGTCTCGAGTTTTCGGGATCTTGCTTCGTTGTATCTCACGTCGAGCGTTTGTGCCAACTTTCCATACGAGCGGAAAGTTCTACATCCTCGTGTACGCGACTTATCGAGTCAGTCTATTGATATCTTTGGATTGAAATATACACACATACACCGACGTATATTTGTAAAATATAATACATGTGGTACAACATCCTACTTGTGCAACAATCTGTGTATAATTCATCCTTTTCATCATTTCATACAAATGCAATCTATCTTGGCCGCTACTTCACGAGGTATCGTTCGACGTAGTGCAAAACTTCGAAAGCGACTTCCACCATGATGAGTATAATGATCATCCACTCCAGACGAACGTGATGGCGATCGCTCAGATGTGATGACAAGATACTCACCAGTTCCACGCAATGGTTCAGCCGCTCGTTCATCACCTGTGTCGAAGCAGAACACATGATGAAGGCACAGACGTGCGGGTACGTTTCAAACTCTACTCACCCTCGTACGCTTCGCGATACTGAAGTAGCCGCAAATCTGCTGATACAGACTCTCCAGGTCGTCGCGTTCCCAGTAGAAATCAGGCGTGTCCAGAAGATCCGAGCTTAGGTTGATACGGTGGCGCAGGTTAAACAGCTCGCCTTGCTTCCTCAACACCTCCTGCTGCGTCATCCGCAGCTTCCGGCCGGCTTTTAGGTCTTCCGTCACGAACTCGATCGAGTCGATGTAGCGATTCAACGACACCTCCCATGCGCCCAGCTTGACGGATTGCGCCATAGCGTTGGAGAACGTGTACTTGTCCAAGTTATCAGCCTCCCGCGTCAGGATGATATTGCCGTTTTTTAGGTGGCTCTTCCTCCTGCGTGTGTCGATAATCGCATCATGTTGGTTATCGAATTCACTTGCGCGAAACATCGGTGTACTCATCAAGTTTTCGGGTCTGTTCTTTTTAACTGCACTGCTGAACTGGTTGAGGAAAAATGTAGTTGTTTCGCTTTAATTTATTGCACTAGTTGAGCAGTGCAGGTAAAACGAACAGACCACTTGTTCTCGATAACATTAGGCTATCATGGAACGTATATGTGTGACAGGAACTGATAAAAAAAAGAATAGTAGAGGTACCTGGAGTCCGTATACATATAAGCCATTAACTCGCTCTCGGTATGAACCAGCTCTTCTGGGTAACGATTATACTCGTAAGACCTCAAAAATTTCATTAGGTTCCCGCATTCGAGATCGGATATATTCCACATAACAATGCTACCTTCTCGGAAGAAAAAGATCTCTCGGGATTCGTGGCCTACTTCGTACTTGGCCGTCGCGTGTATGACGTCGGGCAAAGCTGCGAACAACAAAAGAAAGGATCATTCGAAACACGTTATATAACCAATTCGACTCCACGACTTTCGCAGTGGGGTAGTAAGGTGAAAGGTCAATTGACAAGGCGGGTAGCAAAGGTTTGCAGACAAATGCATTTGCAACTCCAAAATCTGTATAAATGTATGTACAAAATATAATAAATTCATCGAAACATTCGTAGGAACATTCGCTCTGATGGGTGAATATTGCTTTCGGCAAGAAATAATACTACATGTAGATGCGCATCGATACAACGTTCGCGATTAAATTGACCGATGACTCTCGCTATCTCTCTTGCTCTTTCGTTCGGTGCGATTCAATCAATTAGGAACGGACTGTCGCAGGCGCCCAGGCCAGCCGCTACGCCGCCTTCATTATCTGTGGCCAATTTCGTTCTCAGCATATGACCGCCCTGCCTGTTGACAATGATATCTTTATCGCTCCCGATAACTACGCCAAATATCCCCAGCTCTGAAATCAGCTCCTTCATCTCCAATTGCGCGTTACTTCCGGGTTTCACTATGTAGTTTTTGTGCACTGGCGGATAAAGCCGATCCATGAGAATCCAAGCCACTCGAGCCTGCTCGGATTTCACCGACTGCAGAAAATTGCGAATGTCCAGGCCGTACTTGTTGTTACAACCGCCTTCCCTCTGCGGTTTCAGCACGAACCGTTGTGGATTCGAGATGCCCATTTCCACGGCGGCGTTACCGTGTTCGTCAAAGTCCAACGGGTACAGGCCTGCAACGAGGGACAGTTTACATGCCTCCCGCATGTAATTGGATCTTTGACAATTATAATGAACGTTATCATAATTACATGTGTATATATATATATATATATATATATATATATATGTATGTACACGTAATTATGGTAATATATATATATATAAGGGATCGTCCATTAATCACGTGATACATTTTTTGGCGCTTTTTACGCCTCATCCCCCACCCTCTGCGTGATTTTAAATGATATCACAGCTAACCCCTCCCTCCTATCACGTGATTTATTAATATCGTCTTATCGATAAGAAATTCATGTATATAAATACATATTTATTTTATATATTATAATTTTGTATAAATTTAACATAAATGAAATTATATATATATACAGGGTGGGTGGTTATAAGTTTACAATCCGAAGTGTGAAGTTAGATTGGGTTAAGACAAACATAAAAGTCCCATAGCGTTTTGCGAGATTCGCAATAATTGTCGAGTTATTAACACGTTAAGCATGGAGCCGATTTTGCTGAAGCTTTCCGTTCAGGCGGCGTGCCGGCGCGGGCGGCGACCACTCGGCGAGTGTTGAGTTACATAGTATAAACAGAAGATACACACATATCGTGGTGACGATTTTACTTCACTTTCTGTTTGGGCTATGGTAATGGCGCCGCCAATACAGAAGTATACAAAGTATAAACAAAAGATAATCAGATGGAGAATGGTAAGAAACCGATCTCCAAAAGACGATCAGTTGGAAAAAGCCCACGGAAGTGTAAATGTTCTTTGAGCAGAGAGAATTTTTGTTCGTTGTGTTTTATAAAGTAATTTTCAGTCATTATTTTCAAAAAAATTTATTGCCCATAATATCGAAAATGTTGAGAGGAGAAGGAGATAGCGATTCATCGAGTGGGTTATTTTTAACCTTGATACTGCCGGTCCCAGGGACCGACGCCGCCCAAATGAAAAAAGTTCATTGTCAGTTCGTAGGGACCGACGCCGCGCTTAACGTGTGATGATAGAAATCTGAGGAGTGGGAGTGCGCCGACATAGATGATTGGAGAAGCGTCCTCCCTCTATGTCGGCGCACTTCCACTCCTTAGATTTCTGTCATTAATAATTATTGCATCGATAATTATTGCGAATCTTGCAAAACGCTATGGGACTTTTATGTTTGTCTTAACCCGATCTACCTTCACGGCAGTCCGGGTTGGCAGCTTATAACCGGCCACTTTGTAAATGCGCGTTTTCGTCCGACGAGAAGGACAACGCGCCGCTATTCGTTGTTTTATCTCGCCGGACTTGCGTCTCGTCGCACGCCGCTAACAGTTGCTGGGTCGATCAGACCGCGCTGTGGCCTGAGCAGCTGCAACGCTTCTCCAATCATCTATGTCGGCGCGCTCCTACTCCTCAGATTTCTCTGTTATTAATAACTCGATAATTATTGCGTATTTCGCAAAACGGTATAAGACTTTTATGTTTGTCTTAACCCAATCTACCTTCACACTTCGGGTTGTGAACTTATAACCCCCCATTCTGTATATACAGGGTGTATAAAAAGCCCCGTCACCCCTAAATATCTCAGGGGGGTTACATTTTAGAAAAAAATGAATGTTGTAAGGTTTTAAGAGGCCTATTTATTAGTCTTATTAGTTTGACCTTGAGTGGCGTTGCCAAGGTCCGGTCAAGGTCAACTTAATTTTTTTTAAATGGAAATTTATTTTTTATTATATCATCTTTTCCTACCAATTAATTTTGACAACTTTTGTCTGAAACATTTTTTTATTTGTCTAATATTTGTGAGATATTTAAGGAAAACTCGGCAACCTTTTCAATATTTAATTTACGATATCTCGCCAACTATTTGTTGGAAGAAAAAATAATACTAAATTTTTTTACTCTATTTCCTCTCAAAAATATATTGTTACAATAATGCTTTACCTTTTGTTAACTTATCGAGCTTTGGAAATTTCAAAATCATCAAATTAACAAAAGTCATTTAGACCTTGGACAAAATTAAGTGGACAAACAGGACATTTTGTATTCAAAGTGGAACAATATAAACAAACATTGAGCTTTACTTAATATATGATATTATTGCGTCCTGAGTGTACACTGGTCCTTGTACCAGTACAATCAAAGTTAATAAACAGACATGTCTAAGCAAAGAAAAGAGTTTTCCGTTCATCTGCGAAATCTAATTATTTCAAACTGCAAAAATAAGCTAAGTTATCGTAAAATAGTCGAAAAATATAAAGTTTCGAAAAGCGCAGTTCATAAAATTTATACAAAATATTTACAACATAATACTGTCAAAAATGTACATAATCGGGGACGGAGACGTAACACAAGTGCATATGATGACAGAAGAATTATGAGAGAAGCTCAACGTAACCCGTAATCGACAACGTCACGAAACATTGTTGTATAACTACAATTAAACATATCTTCAAAAACTGAGACGAAGATTAAAAGAGGTGAGTTTACAGAGTTGTGTAAGTAGACGTAAACCATACATTAATAAAGTGCATAAAAAGAAACATTTAGCTTTTGCAAAAAAATGCAAAAAATATGTAAATGAGCCATTATCATTTTGGAAATTAATAATATGGTACGATGAAAGTAAATTTGAATTATTGAATAAAAGAAAAGAGAGCACACGTGTGGAGAAAACCGAATGAAGCTTTAAAGAAGTAATATGTTGTACTAACAGTCAAGTATGGAGGAGGTGTAATATATCAATAATGATATGGGCTTATTTTTCGTGGTATTGGAAATTTAGTAGTTATAGATTGGAATCATGAATGCTGATAAATATATTGACATTTTAAATGAAAACATAGAAGAATCAATTCTAAAAATGGATCTCGATAGGGAATGGATGTTTCAGCAAGACAATGATCCGAAGCACACAGCAAAGAAAACGAAACAATTTCTCCGGAATTGTAAAATAGAAGTTCTTGAATGGCCTTCACAAAGTCCGGAACTTAAACCCAATCGAAAATTTATGGAGTTTACTGGATGCAGAGATTCCATTAGAAAAACGCAATAATAAAAGAGCAATAATAAAAGTTTTTAAATGAATTGCAACTAAAATTTCAGAGACAAACATTATCTGGAAAAACTTGTTGAAAGTATGCCACGACGTTTACAAGCAATAATAAAAGCAAAAGACTACAATACAAAGTATTAATACTTACTTTGTATAAAGTATCCATTTAATTTTGACCATGTGTAGTTTTATGTTATTGTCATTAATCAATCAAAATTCTAATATATTATTTGTTACAAGTGGTTTTTCTTTATATTTTGTCAAATTATATTTCGTTAATTTAAATAAGCAATACAAGTTTGATTTTTTGACATTATTAGTTAAATTAATTTAACCTTTTGTTATTTATGATACCTGTCCACTTAATTTAGTCCACGACTGTATACAATTTCAGACCACCCGGGTCACCCAATTTTTTCGTAAACGCGACATTCTAGAGAAAAATGTTTCAGACAAAAGTTGTAGGGCTTCAAAGAATCCATTTACTGATGCTATAAATTTGACCTCGGGATGACCTTGAAAAGCCCAGTCAAGATCAACGATAAAAATCTTAAATGGAAACTCCAATTTTTTATTACACCGTCTTCTTCCACCAATTAATTTGAACAACTTTTGTCTGAAATATTTTTTTATTTGCCTAATATTTTTTGAGATATTTAAAGATAGCTTAGTAACTTTTTCAATATTTAACTTACGATATCTCGCTAACTGTTTGTCGGGATAAAAAAATGATACTAGACTTTTCTATTCTATTTGGTCTCAAGAATATATTGTTACAATAGCGCTCTGACTTTTGTTAATTTGATGATTTTGAAATTTCGAAAGATCAATAAATTAACAAAAAATAGAGCATTATTGTACCAATATATTCTTGAGATCAAGTAGAATAGAAAAGTCTAGTACCATTTTTTTATCCCGACAAACAGTTAGCGAGATATCATAAGTTAAATATTGAAAAAGTTACCGAGTTATTCTTAAATATCTCAAAAAATATTAGGCAAATAAAAAAATGTTTCAGACAAAAGTTGTTCAAATTAATTGGTGGAAGAAGACGGTGTAATAAAAAATTGGAATTTCCATTTAAGATTTTTATGTTGATCTTGACTGGGCTCTTCAAGGTCATCCCAAGGTCAAATTTATAGCATCAGTAAATAGATCCTCTGAAGCTCTACAACTTTTGTCTGAAACATTTTTCTCTAAAATGTCGCGTTTACGAAAAAATCGGGTGACCCGGGTAGTCTGAAACACCCTGTATATGCACTCCAGCCGACCAATCAGACATCTCGTGCAGCTAATCAATAAATAGTCGCGTCGTAAACGTTAGATGGTATCGAAGAATTAGCTTTTGCGAAAAAATACATGTAATATTTCGTATCGCCTCCCCTTCCCCGTCGTGATCATTCGTGTTTTCAATGACTCTCCTCTACCCCCTTAAACCTCACGTGATTAATGGATGCCCCCTAAGTTAGAACGCTATCATGATTACAAATACATGTATGTATGTATATACAGGGTGGCTCATGTAAAGTGTGATAACCCAAAAATTCTAAAAATATTTGTCGTATTAAAAAATTATTCATGACATAACTATATAAATAAAATTATCCGCCTTTGAAGGGGATGCAAGGTAACTTCATAATTTCAAATGGGACCTCCTATAAAATGTATACTTGGATTCTACGGGAAGTAACAAGTAAACTTTATCTGGAACATTCGACACTCCATGGATGAAAATGGATGGCAACGCTGATGCGTGTACGTATACTACGTGTGAAGTCGTATATGTTTATGTTTTTCCTATTAATATCAAAGTCTTCGTTTTATTGGAAGAGTAGTAGAGAACAATTTCTTTCATATATATTCATCGGAAAATAAATACAAGTTTATTTATATTTAGTCAGTACTATTTTTCATGGGGATATATGAAAAAAGAAATTATGTTTCAATCACTTATGATAAAAAGAAGATTTGAAATGAAGAATATGTGAATCTTGCGCTAGCGTGATCCCAGAAATATTGTTTAGGGTTAGACAAAATTTTGTAAAAAGAATTAATAAGTGTTTAAATGTAAGTGGTCAACAGTCAACAGATATTTAAGTAAAAAATGTGAAGTTTATTATTTAATTTACGGTTTTATCACTTTCGTTTGAATATATTTCACTGTAAAGTTTAAATATTTATAACTTCTGATAGAAGTATTTCTTAAAGAAATGTTCCAGATAAGGTTTACTTGTTTCTTCCTGTAGAATCCAAATATCTAATATTTTATAGGTCCCATTTGGAATTACAAAGTTACCCCCACCCCTTTCAAGAGATAGCGAGGGCGGACTTTTCTTTATATTGTTAAAGGACCTCTCGAATACATGAAACTTTGTCGTGAACAATTTTTTTGATACGATAAATATTTTTAGAATTTTCGGGTTGTCATACTTTACGTGGGCCATCCTGAATGTATGTTATAATTTGGTATGTTATAATTGCACATATGTATAATTGCACGTATGTTATAATAAGTTATGTTATAATTGCACATATACACACAAGCGCGTCAAATATTAACAATTATAAGTAACCGTGTAATTTTACAAATTATAATAATAAAAACGTTCATTCATAATATACAGGGTGTCCCATTTTAAATAAGCCAGGCAAAAATCTCGAAAAATATAAAAGATATTAAGAAACGTTTTAACGTTTCAAACGTTGGGACAAAAATTGTATGGTTTCAAAGGGGATATAAAACAACTATATTATTTTGTTTACAGATGGCGCTAGTTTCGAAGTACTCACTGATCATGACTTTTCTTAAATGGACATTCCAATTTTTTGATTATAAATATCTTTTTTTTTACTAATTAACTTGAACTTTCATCTCAAACAATTTTTTCTTATTCATTTAATATTTTTTGAGATATTGAAGAAAAATTTGCTAACTTTTTCAATATTTAACTTATGATATCTCGTTAAGTATTTATCGAAAGAAAATAGTACTAGACTTTTTTACTCTATTTAGTTTCAAGAATATATCGTTGCAATAAGTGCCCTAACTTTTGTTAATTTATCGACCTTTGGAAATTTCAAAATCAAATTAACAAAAGTCAGGGCGCTATTGTAATAATATATTCTTGAGACTAAGTAAAACAGTAAAAAAGTCTAATACCACTTTTTCTTCCGACAAACAGTTAGCGAGATATCGTAAGTTAAATAAGAGAAATCGTAAGAAAATATTATCAAATTTTCCTTAAATATCTCAAAAAATATTAGGCAAGTAAAAAATGTTTCAGATAAAAATTGTTCAAATTAATTGGTAGAAAAAAATGATATAATAGAAAATTGGGATTTCCATTTGAGAAAAGTAATGATCAGTGAATATCTCGAAAGTGGCACCACCTGCAAACAAAATAGACATAGTTGTTTTATATCCCCTTTGAAACTATTTGATCTGAAACGTTTCTTAGTATCTTTCATATTTTTCAAGATTTTTGCCTGACTCATTTAAAATGGGCTCATTTAAAATCATATATAATTGATAATTATACATCCTTATGATTACAACTTGTAAAATTATACGACGTTCGTTAATATTTGTTGTAATATTTGCCAGAAATATTTGTTGCGTTTGTGTGTGTACATGAATGCACAGAGGAATATAAATTAGCTGCGCACCGGTGAATATCTCCTTGACCTTCGCCGCCGTCTTCTCATCCTTCAAGAAGCGCGCGACCATGCCGGGCTTCGCCAGAGTTTGCTGGACCTTCTTCGTGCCGGCTAAGTGGTACTGAATGCTTGGGCACTTGATCGCCAGCGATCTCTCGATCAACAGTCTCGCGTCCCATTCTTTTTGGCTGTGGTACTGACCAGGCTCGTAGCCGCATCTGTAATAGACCACGGACACAACGTGGTCGTCCACTAAGAGCTCCATGTTGGCACCCAGTCTCGCAGTCGCCGCCAGTTCCGTCAGATTCCTGCGGATCACGCTCACTCGCGGGTTTTGCCTGCGTATCTCGAACTCGTGGAAACGCTGGTCGCAGATGTTATACGTGATGTCCTCGATGACGAACAAGATGATCGCCCTGCGAAGCATCGTGCATTCCCGGTTACAAGAGACCGCTTGCGCTCAAAGCACGCGGCTCATCTAACAGCGACGGTGGTCGCGAGACCACCGTAATAATGCCTCGAGCAAATACAACAAGACGTAATCGCATCGAGTGGATTTTCTCACTCGTGAGTCGGGCGAGCTTCTTCCTCTCTCCGAGAAGAACTTGCCAGACACCGTGAGGACACGTGACGCTTATCTCAAGACACCAGTGAACATACGTACTTGGACTCGCCGTACAAGCTCCATGCCTCGATCATGCCCGAGCACAATGTCTCCAACGCATTGTTCTCCGGCAGATTCCTTAGCTCGTCCTGGTAGCCGAGCTCCTGCAGGACGAAGCGGTGCAGCCGCGTGGTCGCCGGGCCCAACCAGCCGAAGCCGGAGGCGATCGTATTGATCTCCACTTGCTTCCAGCAGCAGTGGGGCTTGAGCTTCTTGGCGTCCTTCTTCGGGCAACTGGTGTCCAGCATGAGGTCCGAGCGCAGAATGGCGAGTGACAACTTCTGCGCGGCGCCTTCTCGGTGGACAGTCTCGTAGATGTCGAACAGGTTTCTGGTGAAGTCGTCGACCTTGACGGTCTCCTGCAAGGTCTCTTTCAGGAAGTCGTAGTCGTGCGCGACTCTGTGTACGAGAGTGTTCAGGATGATCTGAATGTCGCAGGCGTTCTGGAACTCCTCTCGCGGGAACGGCGACGGCATGAGCGCGTACGGCGCGAACTGCAGGAGGTCCCGGTTGAAGTCGCTCTTGGAGCGGAAGCACAAGCCGTTCATGAGCGCCCAATCCTTCGCTTTATCGATCAACTCGTCCAGTTCTTTCCTCGGTAAATCCAGCGCGATCGGCAGCTTCATCGTTGCTTCATTGTCCCCGTGCATTCTCCCTTAGAGTGTCTTTCTTTTTTCCTCCGAGTTGGACTCTCGCGTCAGTCGAGCTTCGCTCACTTCTTCTCGGGAGCTCACAAGTTCCTCCGCAAGTTCGCGTTCACACTTCCTGCTGCACAAAAACGCGCGACGATCGCCTGTGTGCACCTCTTTGACCGCGCTCTTCTCCTTGCACTGTCAGACTGCTCAAAGTGAAGCGTGTTATTGTATGCACGAGATAATCGAAGAAGACGAGGGACTACTTATCGTCGTATCAGTTAACAAGAATCCCGTGCGCACGCGATTTCGTAAACAAACATTCATAAAAATTAAACTCGGCACGAGTCTCGAGATAACTGATCAGGATAGTCGCGGTGGCGTTCGGTCGCGCGAATTTATTCTCGAATGAGGCACTTGCGAGCCTCGCATACGTTGACCTCGCGGGATAATATCGTTATCAGAGTGACGTCTCGGATCGATCTCGCCGAGCGAGGACTCGCCGCGACGATGCTCGACGAAGGAACGACTCGTCGCGTGCGTGCGCTCCCCGAACGCGAACGAAACGCAGAAAACGGAAGCACAGCTTCACCGGCGGACGAGTGGCGACGGCGAGCGGTGTCGACGCTCTTTATACGCGCGATCAGCTGACGAGCCGGCGGAGTCGACCAATCGGCGTCGTCTTAAGACGGCATATACCCGGGGGTGCATTCGCTTTGAACTCTCACGTTTCTAACAAGGAAAGATAGGGAAGCCGAAAATTTAAAAAATTCCGAAACTGATTTAAGAAATTCTTGTGTGGAAGTAAAGTAGTTCATGCGCAATGCAAAACTATTGTTTTGTTCGTGCGAAATTCCAGTCTGAGAAGGTGAAATCGCCCTTCGAAGAGAAACCATTTTCATTTTTAACGTATATCTTTTGAAATACGAGACATATGCAAAAATGGTTCATATGAAAGTTGTAGTGTATTTCATATTCTTTGCAACTGTGTATTCAGATTTTGCAAAATTGAACCCGGACGGAGGAGGGGGGTTTCAAAAATTTTTCAATTTTGCAAAATCTGAATACACAGTTGTAGAGAATATGAAATGCACTATAACTTTCATATAAACCATTTCTGCATATGCTTCGTATTTTAAAAGATATACGCTAGAAATGAAAATAATTTTTTCTTCGAAGAGTGGTTTCACCCCCCCAGACTGGAATTCCGCACAAACAAAAAATAATTTTGCATTATGGATAAACTATTTTACTTCCACACAGTTTCATAATTTTTTGAATTTCCGAGTTCCCTATGTTTCCTTATAAGGACTGTTTTCACCCGTTCACTTTGATATGCGAATGCTTAAGGTAAGGGTGGTGCCCATGGCTTATATTTTCCGCGTAACCAATCAGAAGCGTTACACAGCGGAATTTAAATTATTGTGTCCCGCGAAGCGTAAAAAGTAAGCTGCGTACCAACCTTAACCTGTATCTATTTATTCTATTGAGATATTCCAACAGAAATGATAATGTCGCTGTTAATCGGTTAATGCTAATTTGTAATACGCATCATGGGACACAAGGAAATTAAATTTTGCGTAATGTAGCACACGTACAATCTTAATATACGTACAAATACGTAACATAAAGTGTAGGTGTGCTGAATTGGAACACATATTGTACATTGTTTGAAAATTAAGAAAACGTAGTCTGATAAATGTTTATTATATATGTTACATAGTTATAAAATGTTTGCTCGTAAAGAGATTAATCGCAGAGTATTACAAGTATAAAATTAAGAAAAATAGTGGCTCCATACTTTTTAATACATAATCGTGAAAAACGACCAGTGCATAAAAGAAGATACGAGGGCAGTTTGATAAGTCAATGACTTTTTGAATTTTCCGCGCAATAACTTTAAATGCAACACTGCTCCCGTCAACTGCCATCTATTAATAGACTACTGTACAAGTTTGGGCAAGCTGCGCCATTTAGTTAGTGTTTGACAGCCATTGAAAGCAGACAACCTCGTGAATTTTAACGAAAATGGAAAAAAGTGAATTTCGTGTGCTGATTAAGCATTATTTTTTGCATAAAAAAACCATCACCGAAACCAAGACAAAGCTTGATAAATACTATGGGGACTCTGCACCATCAATTTCAATGGTTAAGAAGCGGTTTACTGAGTTCCGTTGTGGTCGTACCAGCACAAGTGACGCCGAACGTTCAGGTCGCCCAAAAGAGGTCGTCACGCCAGAAATCGTCGATAAAATCCATGGAATGATATTGGACGATCGGAGAATGAAAGTGCGTGAAGTGGTTGAGGCTGTAGGCATCTCAACTGAGCGGGTACATCACATTTTACATGAATATTTGGACATGAAAAAGCTATCCGTGCGATGGGTGCTGCGATTGCTCACACTCGACCATAAGCGCAACCGTGTGACCATTTCAAAGGAGTGTTTGGCGATGTTCAGCCGCAATCCGAACGAGTTTTTGCGCCGTTTCGTTACCGTAGACGAAACATGGATCCATCACACCACACCAGAGACCAAGGAACAATCAAGACAGTGGATTTCTTCGGGTGAACGTGCACCAAAGAAAGCCAAGGTGGGTCTGTCGGCCAACAAGGTCATGGCCACAGTTTTTTGGGATGCACGCGGTATCATTCACATCGATTACCTTGAAAAGAGTAAAACGATCACCGGCGAATATTATTCAGAGCTTTTGGACTTCGATATTGATTTGAAGCAAAAACGACCGCATTTGGCGAAGAAAAAAGTGCTGTTCCATCAGGACAATGCACGGGTGCACACGTGTGTAGTCACCGTGGCAAAAATCCATAAATTGGGCTACGAACTGCTACCCCATGCAGCATATTCACCAGATTTAGCCCCCTGCGACTATTTCCTGTTTCCAAACCTGAAGAAATGGCTGGGCGGTAAGAGATTTGGGTCGAATGAAGAGGTCATCACTGAAACAAACGCCTATTTTGAGGGCCTTGAGAAAACCTATTATTTGGAAGGAATAAAAAAATTGGAAAAACGGTGGACTAAATGTATCGAGCTAAAAGGAGACTACGTTGAGAAATAAAACGCTTATTTGCCGAAAAAAATATCTTTTATTAAAAAAGTCATTGACTTATCAAACTACCCTCGTATTGGATTCACTCAATATTTATGATGGTAAATCGTAACCGACATGGCGCAAGCGATAACCTTATTAAAGAATTATATTCCTACAACGATAAGAAATTTATAAATTTGTAATATTTTCTTAAAGCATAATTTTATAATCAATAGAATACTTCACACATACACAGTCTGTCCCAGATCCAATGAGACTGGTCTAAAAAAAAATACAAAGCGTTTATTATTTTGATTTTTTATTCTTGTTTATTCAAAATAGTCTCCTTCTGAGTCAATACAGCGCTGGAAACGTTCAACAAATTTTTCGAAACATTTTTTATATTCATCGGCTGGAATGGCCTTTAGTATGGTGGTCAAAGTTTTTTGGATGACCGGGATGGTATCGAAACGATTTCCTTTCATCGGCAATTTCAGTTTGAAAAATAGCCAGAAGTCGCACGGAGCCAAATCAGGTGAATACGGTGGATGATCGATAACAATGATGCCTTTTTTGGTCAAGAATTCACGTACCATGATGGCTTTGTGCGATGGTGCATTATCGTGCAACAAAAACCAACTGCCTGGCTCTCGATATTCCGGTCGAACTCGTCGAATTCTGGCCCACAATCGTTGTAGAACTCCCAGATAATATCTGGGCAGACATACAGCGGTCGCTTCGAAGAATTTCTTTGACTTTCTCGATGTTTTCTTCATTGTGAGTGGTTTTTGGCGGCGTTGCTCGGTCATCGTCTGCAAGGTCCTCACGATCGTCATGGAATCGGCCAAACCAACGGAAAACCTGTGCACGGGACATGCATTCATCTCCGTACACATTTTTTAGCGTTTCGTACGTTTCTGGACCACTTTTACCCAACTTAAAAGTTGGTTTTTCGACCGACGTACACAAAGTGACTTTACATAAAATGTCAAACCACAGTGAAATATCAACCGAATTCGCTCAAATTTTGAGGTTAAGTAGATGAAGGATAGAACATTCACCTACCATCATTCACTCATAGATATCGCTGCGCTAAGAACTTTGATGGAACCAGTCTCATCGTATCTGGGACAGACTGTGTATTATAATAAATTATTATACTTACAGATAATCCTTCCATGATCAAGGCCAGTCTCAATCATGAATCTCTCCTTTTTTGAAGAAATTCGTGAAAAGGTGTATCTGATTCAATAAATTTAGCATTCAGAACATGTATCCGAAAACGCATAACGCTTCTGATTGGTTACACGGAAATGATGTGTCATGGGACGTCACCCTAAGCATTCGCTTTAGCAATTGTAAGTGACTGTAAGCGTATCAATATGGCGGGTGATAAATTAATTACTTTGTCATATGGATCAGTATTAACATTAAAAACAATTTTATTTTTAAGTAAACATTCCATAAAAAAAATACCATAGCATGATTACATGGCTATGGTATTGGTATGGCGGGAGAGATCATTCCCATACATACAAAGAAGATCAACTTCAGAGGCGTATATTGCTTTTTTATGTAATTATTTACAAGTATGAACATTATTTTCGATAGTTGGAAATATTTCTGTGCATTCGCAATATATTTCAGAATTAAACATCATTGGTATAAATTATAATTGTTTATTAGAATAATAAACTGGTATATACTAGTATACCATTTTTTGAGCGTTTTGCTTCGTCTATAGTAATAATTATAAAATATACGATTCTTCCGTCTCTCAGAAGCATCTCTTTCACATGAGATACCAATTTTCTGTTTATACTGCGATTACTTTTTGTTTTAAACGCTTATGCCGGTCCTACGATAAGCTGTAAGAAGTGATCAATCATGGCTGATTATTTTTATAATAATCAACTGCGATTAGTCATTTTTACGACTTACGACATTTATTGTAAAATCAGCATTCTTGTTACGTGCCGTAACGTAATGCGTTTTTCTTTTTTAGAATATTTGGACCTATATCGAATTCTCTAATGACATTGTAAATTTTTTTCATTCAAAACCCTTATTTTTTACCTTATCATAATTCGACCCCAGAGAATAGACCATACACTCAAATAAATAAAAGATATACCATGGCGAAGATACCCATA